GCTGAAAGTGAAGATGACTTGAAGCATTTACTGATGAAGATTACAGACTACGGACTTCAATATGGATTACACCTCAATATAAATAAAACAAAAATCCTCATAACTGGACCAATAAGCAGCATCATGATAAACAGAGAAAAGATTTAAGTTGTCAAAGAGTCCATATTACCTGTTTCCACCATAAACACTTAAAGGGGCTCTGGTGGAGCAGTGCCTCAGGCATTTGACTACTAAGCAGAACATTGGTGGTTCAAACCCACCAGCCACTCAGTGGAAAGAAAACAGGGCAATCTACTTCGTAAAGATTTACTGCCTTGGAAAACTAATGGGGGTCACTGTGAGTCAGAATCAACTCAATGGCAGTGAGTTTGTTTTTTCTGGTTTGATACCATGAACACTAATGGAAGCAGCAGTCAAGAAATCAGACAATGTATTGCACTGGGCAATTCTGTTGCAAAAGACCTTTGTAAAGTGCTGGAGAGAAAAGATGTCTCTTTGAGGACTAAGATGCGCCTACCCCAAGCCATGGTATTTTCAATCGCCTCATGTGCATGTGAAAGCTGCACAATGAATAGGGAAGACCAAAGAAGAGTTGACGTTTTTGAGTTGTGGTGTTGGCGAAGAATACTGAGTACTATGGTCTGCTAAAAGAACTAACAATCTGTCCTGGAAGAAGTGCATCTGGAATGCTCCTTGCAAGTGAGAATGGCCATCTCACCTACTTTGCTCATGTTGTGAGAAGGGACCACTCCTGTATCATGCTTGGTAAAACGGAGGGTCAGCAAGAAAGGGGAAGGCCCTCAATGAGATGGATTGACACAATGGCTGCCAATGATGGGCTCAGATATAGTAAGGATTGTGAGGCTGGCGCAGGACCGGGCAGTTTTGTTCTGTTGTACGTACGGTTGCTGTGAGTCAGAACTGACTTGATGGCACCTAACAATGGTTGCCATTTTAAATTCATTCCATAAAGTTACCTTAGGTTGGTTTTGTAACATCCTAGATACATCCTCATCTCTTTGAAAAGCAAGCTATTTGCAGATTTTAGCCAATTATGAGTAGTTGTAGAGAGTATAGGCAGTGGACTCCGATCCACTTTCTCCTCATAAAAGGTCCTCTTTCTGGATGCATTAACTCAATACATTAGCTCAGTCTTGACTGGAGGCAAATTTGCCCTGAGGAATACTGGTATAGGAATATCATAAATCAGATACTCTGTTGCTGACAGTTGGGCTTTGTAAATTTGGGAGTGTCTGTGCAGGAGGCATTGGTTTGGTTTTAGGAGTGCTAGGCCTCCCCACTAGATGGCACTTTTGATTTTGTTTCTGGTTTTCTGCTTGAAATTTTATTTTTTCACTCTCACATTTCCAATAAAAGCATTGCATCTGGGGAACCCACCGGAGAGGTTTCTTTTTGGAAAAATTGTGGAACTTCTCACACTTCCCTTAATTTTGGCTCTTTCCTTAACAGAATTAAGGGAAGTGTGAGAAGTTCCATAATTTCTCTAGCGATTTTACATATGTTGCAGTGTTCCCACAGTCCTGATAATGAGCCACTTGGACTCATCCTGAGAACTGAAAGGGGATGGAGGACTGAGATTGTCAACTAGAAAGGAGAAAGCTCTCTGGTGGGTTCCCCACATGCAGTGCTACTTTTGGAAATGTTCAGAGAGTCTTTGGTTCTGAGGGCTTGCTAAAAGGGAAAACACTCTGAAAGCATCTTGCTTTAGGCATGCACTGTTCTCATAGTACTCCGGGATTAGGAAGGATCAGGTTCCAATCGCTCAGCTATAAAATAGCACAAAAACACTGATTAACTGAGTTGTTGTGAGGGTGAAATATGATATTGCATGTAAAATGCTTAACACTTTACCTGGCACTAAATAAATTCTTGGAGTCCTTGGTTAGTGGAAACTTAATGCACTGTCTGCTAACCAAAAGGTGGGAGGTTCAAGTCCACCCAGAGGCACTTTAAAAGAAAGGCCTGGTCATCTACTTCTAAAAAAACTGTCATTGAAAATCCTAGGGAGCACACTTCTACTCTGACATATGTGGTGACAATGAGTCAGGGTCAATATGAGTTTGGGTCACCATGAGTCAGAGTTGACTGATGTTGTTCTTGTTATATGCTGTCAAGTCGGGCCCGACTCATAGCGACCCCTGCTTGGGTTTCTGAGGCAGTATCACTACAGAAGTAGATTGCTTCATCTTCCTTCTGAGGAGTAGCTGATGGGTTTGAACTTCCAGCCTTCTGGTTAGCAGTCAAGTGCCTTAGGTACTACGCTACCAGAGCTCCCTGAGTAGACTGATAGCAACTGGTTTTTTAAAAAAGCTCTCTCAGCAAGATAAAGGCCTAAGCCACTTCCTTCACCTGCCCAGGCTAGGGTTCCCAGTAGAGGAGGCAAGTGAGAAGCACATGGAAACCTCCTAGGGGAATACTCCATCTACATATCCGTCGTGGATTAGGGAGAAGGGCTGTCCTTTGCTAAAGGAAAGCACTGTGCCTCCTCCAAGTAGTGAGAAACTGTGGCTGCCTTCCCAAATCCACCCACTGATAAACCATGGAGCAGGAGCTCTGGTGGCGTAGTGCCTAAGGCATTTGACTGCTAACCAGAAGGCTGGCGGTTCAAACCCCCCAGCCACTCCTTGGAAAGAAGACTGAGCAATCTGCTTCCGTAGAGATAACACCTTGGAAACATAAGGAGGAGTTGCTATGAGTCAGAATAGACTAGATGGCAGTGTTTGTTTTTAGGAGCTCTGGTCCAAACCCACCAGCCACTCCTTGGAAGGAAGGTTGGGCAATCTACTTCCATAGTTTCCATAGCCTTGAAAACCCAAGGAGGGGTTGCTATGAGTTGAGTATGAGGACAGCCTGCAAAGAGTAGCAGCCCTCCTAATGCTTGCCTAGCCCATCCCTGGTGAGTCCCCTGTTCTGGTTCCCTAGTGCCGCTCTGACAAGAAATATCCACATATGGGATGGCCTTAGCAAACAAGAGTTTATTCTAACAATTTGGAGGCTTTAAGTCCAAGTTCAAAGTGCCAAGCTCTAGGGTCTGGGTGAAAGCCCCTCAACCTTGGGGTCCAGCTCTGCCTCCTGCTCCCGGCCCACTGGAGCTAGAGGCATTTCTTCACTCAGACAGCTGCTGGCTGCTGAGGCTGAGAAGCCCAAGGTTGACAAGTAAAAAGGCACAATTACCAAACCACATGACAGGCCATTAATTTAAGTCCATTGTAAGTCCCAAGATTGGCAGAGCATGGCAAGCTGCTGAACAATGACATGGCTACATGCAGGGTCCAAGCGTGCCACAGGCTAGAGACCATTCCCAAAAGCTGCTGCTTATATAAGGGAAACAGACCACATACCCAATGCAGCTACTCAGCTGCTTGTGGTAGATCCCACCATAGAGTTGATTGCCAGTCTCATCATGGGGAACATCATGGGGAATAACCTACCACCAGCTGCCCAGCCACTCAACTAGGCCCAGCCAAGTTGACACACAAACATAATTACCACATCCCCCAACTCCTGACCCATCTTGAGCCTTGGAGAAACTCAGCCTCTACCCTCAGCACCCCAACTGTCACTCTATGCTCTCTGCCCAGGGAACGATTGTTTATTGATTTTTTAAAAGTAATTCTCATCTTTTTCTGCAGCCATACTGGCCTTATTTCAGCTCTGTGAGTGAGCTGTCATCTGTCCCACCGTGGGTCCCTGCTGTATATGCCTTAGCACCCTCCATTTCCCCCTCACGGTGGTCAGAACCCTTGGCAGTAGTCTCATGACTGCTTTTCTGACTGGTTCCCTAAAGGCTCCCATTGACTCCAGCTCATTTCCCTTTGTAACCCTCATATTTAACACAACTAATATCACAAAATTTCTTGGCAGAACAGTTTATGAGCAAAAATAATTTAAAATGTAATTTAGTATCACTGGAAAATGGGAGTGCATTTACTTGCTGGCTTGTCTTTGGATAATAGCTCTTTAAATACTTTCTTTTCTGGGCTTCTGTGATACCCAATACTCTTGGTCAAGACTAGCTCTATTTGTGGGGCCCAGTGCAAAATGAAAATAGGGAGTGTTTCATTTAAAAAGTAGGGGAAAGGTGCTGCTGAAAGTGCTATAAGTATATAAAACTTTGCCTTGCTTCTGTCTCCTCTGCTCGAGTTCATGCTCCACTGTCCCTTTGGACTTCACTTACAACATACAAAGATGACATTATTAAGAGTTTTAGAGTTGGAAACCCTATGAGGCAGTTCTACTCTGTCCTTTTAAAAAATGGGGGAAAAAAAAGTTTTATGACAACAGCAGCAGAGAATGAAATCAAGTACAACGTTCTTCTAGAACAGGATCTGGAGCTGTTCCCACAGGTTGTTCTCCCTTGAAGAGGGCTGTTCTTGATTTCTCGCGTGTCACAGACCACTTCTTATTAATCTGCTTTGCCAGCTGTTTGTCTTTCCTTTATCCCAGGTTCTCAACTACTTTTTTTTCTATTGTCTTTGACTACACTCTACCACCAAGAAAATTAGATCTTTCAGGGCCCTTACCCCTGGTGTTCCCTCTGCACAGAATACTGCTCCTCTGTCACTGATGGTTCCTGAATGTGATTCACACTGATTCACACTGCTTCCTGCTCGTTTCAGTCTCAGTTCAAATATCTGCTCCTTAGAGATGTCTTCACTAAAAGCAGTCCCCTCTTCCTCATCGGCCACTTTCAATTGCATTACCCTGTTTTATTTCTTCACTGTACTATCAAAACAATCTTAGTTATTGTTTATGTTTATTTTGCCCACCCTCACAATAATAATTTCGGGGCTTCTCTCTTGAGCTCTTTGAAGTCACTGCTCTAGACTAGCGTGAATAGTAGCAATGGACCTCTCTATGGTAGTCATTGCTCTCAGACTAGAATGAATAGTAGCAATGGACCTTACTATGGTTATGTAGATTTAATTATATTCAAATGTATATTTCATCATCTGTTAAAACTCCTTATTTTCTTTCAGGTTGTTTGGGCAAATAGTTACAAAGTTGGCTGTGCAGTACAATTTTGTTCTAAAGTTTCTGGCTTTGAAGCTCTTTCCAATGGGGCACATTTTATATGCAACTATGGACCAGCGTAAGTCAACTCCTTTCTTAAAATAAATGCCTATTATGGAAATATCTTAATTATAGAAAATCTGGGTAATAAAACAAAGTGCAAAGAAAATAAATAAATATTATACTTTGTTCCTCTGCCTAAAGGTATCAACTCTACTAACACTCTGGTACATTTATTGTACCTGGTGGTGCAGTGTTAAAGCACTGGGCTGCTAACTGAAGGGTCAGAGATTCAAGCCCACCAACCACGCCCCATGGGAGAAAGATGTGGCAGTCTGCTTCCGTAAAGATTGAGCCTTGAAAACCCAATGGGGCAATCTACCCTATCCTATAGGGTTGCTATGAGTTGGAATTGATTCGATGGCAGTGGGTTTTTTCTTCACATTTTTTTTTTTGTGTGTGTGTGTGTGTGTACCCACTATTATATACACTACATGGATACATACACATAGGCACACGTATTTTATTTTTAAAAATGCATTTTACTGAAATATAATTTATGTACAGTGAAATACACAAAACTAAAGTGACAAGGGTCTATGCATTTTTTTGCAGTGTTCCCTCCCCTCCCCTCTCACCCCTGCAGCCAACAAAGAAAGTTCCTTCCATATATAAACTTTGACTTTTTAATGCTATATTTGTACATCTGTGATTGATTTCTTTCGCTCAACATAATGTCCTCCGAGTTCGCTCATGTTATGTGGTGTTTTGCTATTCTACATTATTCTTTAGGGTTGCATAGTATTCCATTGTGTGTGTATGTACCACAGTTTGGTTATCCATTCTTCTGTTGATGTGCATGTAGGTTGCTTCCATCTTTTTGCTATTGTAAATAGTGCTGCGATGAACATGAGTGTGTATGTATCTGTTCTTGTCCTGGTTCTCACTTCTTTAGGATATATACCTAGTAATGGGATTGCTGGATCAAATGGTATTTCTACTTCCAGCTTTTTAAGGAATCACCATATTGCTTTCCACAGTGGTTGTATCATTTGACAGTCCCACCAGCAGTGTATGAGAGTCCCAATCTCTCCACATCTGCCATTTCTGTCTTGTTGAACTTTGCAATTAGTGCTATGGTGAGATGGTATCTCACTGTTGTTTTGATTTGCATCTCTCTGACGGATAATGATCATGCGCATTTCTTCATGTATTTGCAGGCTGCCTGAATATCCTCTTTTGGTGAAGTGTCCATTCATATCTTCTGCCCATTCTAAAACTGGATTGTTAATCTTTTTTGTTGTTGAGGTGTTGGAGTTTTCTATAAATTTTAGAGATAAGCCCCTTAACAGATATGTAATTATCGACAAGTATGAATTTGTTGCTGTCATTTTGTTATGTGCTTTTTCATGATGTTAATTTCTTTGTTCCATATAATTTTCTATGCTGAGCTCGTTTTGTTTATGAATCATGTTATCACTTCCCTCATTTTAGTATTTGCTAAATATTTGTGCTGGTCCTCTTTTTTATTTTGATGTAAAGGTTTATCTTTTTTCTTTGAGGTTACCTTGTGATTTATAATTTCTTCCCAAGTTTAGAACAGTCTGTTCTATCTTGCAGTTGTCTTGATTTCTCTACCATTTAGAAGTTCTGTAACTACATGGTTTTTCCTTCTTTTTGGTTTGTGGTTGTCTTCATTTGTCAATTGATGTCTCTGGTTCCCTATTTATAGACTTGTAGGCTTCTTGACTTTGGATACTTCTATAATGGGGTTGGTTTCTGGGTTATGTCATCATGTGTGTTAAGGGTCAGTTGTTGTTGGCTGTTGGTGGTTCTCTGTCCAAAGAACTCCCTTTAGCATCTCTTGTAAGGATGGTCTGGTTTTAACAAATTCCCTTAATTTCTGCTTATCTAGAAATGTCCTAATTTCACCATCAGATTTGAGGGACAGTTTTGCCCACTATATAATTCTTGGTTGGAAATTTTTCTCTTTCAGGGTTTTATATATACCATCTCACTGCCTTCTCACTTGCACGGTTTCTGCCGAGAAATCCGAGTTTATTCTTAATGGTTGCCCCTTGTAGGTAACTTTTTGTTTTTCCTGTGCTGCTTTTAGAATTCTTTCTTTGTCTTTGGTTTTGGTGAGTTTCCTGATGGTATGTCTTGGTGATTTTCTTTTGGGGTCTATCCTGTTTGGGGTTCTTTGGACTTCTTGAATGGATATATTCTTATCTTTCATCATACCAGGAAAATTCTCTTCCAACAAATCTTCAACAATTTTGTCTGGGGTTTTATTTGTCTCTTCCTGTTCTGGAATTCTGATTGTTGTTGTTGTTGTTATGTGCCATCAAGTCGGACCCAACTCATAGCGACCCCTCCTTGGGTTTCCAAGGTAGTATCACTATGGAAGTAGATTGCCCCATCTTCCTTCCGGGAATTCTGATTACACATATGTAATTCCTTTTGATGATATCTCACATGAACCTTAGGCTTTTTTCATTTTGTTTTGAACTTGTTTCTGATTGATCCCTTTCCAAAGAAGTATTGAGGTATTTGCCTTCAGTCTCACTAATTCTGTCTTCCATTGATTCAAATCTACTCCTTTATCCGTTCAATGAGTTATCTATTTCTGAAAATTTAGTATTAATTTTCTGGATTTCTGTCTGTAGCTTTTGTATCATTTCTAATTTTTCAGTTATTTTGTCATTTTATTCTTGTATTGTCTTTCAAAATTATTGTAGGGTTTTCTCTGTGTTTTCCTCAGTTTTGTCAGTGTTTGTTTTCCTTGATCTGTCTCTCAATTTGTTGAAGGTACCTTTTGAAATCCTTATCAGGGAGTTCTTCCAATGCTGTGTCTTCCTCAGGGATGTGTTTTGGGTCTGTATCCTGGTCCCTTGTTTCTCCTGCTTTATCTTGCTTCTTTGTGTGGACTGTGATACTCTGTTGTATCCAAGGCATTTTGACATTTTTGTGTGTATATCTAGTTAGTGATTATATGTTGGAGTGGGAGCTCTGGTAGCATAGTGCCTGAGGCACTTGACTGCTAACCAGGAAGCTAGTGGTTCAAACCCACCAGCCACTCCTTGGAAGGAAGGTTGGGCAATCTACTTCCGTAGTGATACTGCCTCAGAAACCCAAGGAGGGTCGCTATGAGTCAGGTCCAACTTGACAGCATATAACAACAATAACATGTTGGAGTGACTTGCCCCTGATTTTCATTTTCTTTGTATGTTATCTATGTAAGCAGGGTACTACTGTGCTGTGCTCCTCTATTCACTAGTTGGCAGCATTTATACACTTACCAGCTGTCTCCTTTCCCATTGTCTGCCTCTTGTATGTCCCTGCTGTCCTTGGCAAATGGAGCCTATTCTTAGGTCCCTGGATTCTAGATGAGAAGGCTGTCACCTTAAAATCCAAAATGGCTGCCACTTGTCAACATTCAAAATGGCTGCACCCTCCATTCCTTTAAATATCCAAAATGGCCACTACTTGTAAACATTCACAATAGCTGCCTCCCCAGTCACTTTAAATATCCAAAATGGCTGCCACTTGCAAATGTTCAAAATGGCTGCTCCCTTGGTTACTTTAAATATCCAAAATGGTCACCATGTGCAATCAAAATTGCTGCACTCTCCAGACAGCAGAAAGTCCACAACTCAGGTTGTCTCCTCCTTGCTATTTTCCTTCCTAGTCATAGACCACCAGCACAGTCGTACCTGCAGCACTTGGTGACCAGGGTTGATCTTTAGGTCAATTCTCAGGTCTCAATACCACTTGGAAATATTCAGGCTGTTGGTCCTGTCAGAGTAGCTGATAGTCCACTGCTCCGACCATCTCCGTACTGTTTTTGTTCAGGTTTCTCCACTAGTTCATGCTTGATCCACTTCTGTATACTTCCTTTCAAAGCACAGGGCTCCAGGATTATCTTCTGTATCTCTGTCAATTGGCTTCTCTTCTCTTTGTTGAAGAGGGTCTGTGGAGCTTGTTTGCCTATTCTATCATCTCACTGAAATTCCATGCACACATATTTTTAAGGGTAGCAACACTAAAATGCTTTCAGGGGCACAGATTAACTGGAGATGATTGGATGTTATCTTTATTTATTGTTTTGTTACAATCTTACAAATTTTACATGATTTTCAAGACAAAAACTATGACTTGAATTCCTCAATTTGTAAAACATACTTCTTTCACTTTTGAACAGTTCTTTCTTTACTCATGCATATCAATCATGTGCCTATTGAGAAATTGATATCATACTAGAAATGCATGCTTTCTAATTTTTACTTAAAATTATACTATAAGTATTTGCCATGTCATTAGCATTTAAAATATGATTTGAATAATAATAGTAACATGATAGATCATGCTTATATATTTACTGTGTGCCAAGCACTGGTCTTGGTGCTTTACATATATTAGCTTATTTAATCTTCATTACTACGTCTGCCAGTTTGTTGTACTGTGGTGGCTTGTATGTTGCTAAGATGCTGGAAGCTATGTCACTGGAATTCAAATAGCAGCATGGTCATCATTAGTCGACAAATTTCAGCAAAGCTTCCAGCCTAGGACAGACTAGGAAGAAAGGCATGGTTATCTACTTCCAAAGTCAACCATTGAAAACCCTGTGGATCAGAATATAGTCTGATACAGTCCTGGAAGATGAGCACTCTAGGTTGAGAGCACTCAAAATACTCAGCAGCCACAAGGGATTTGAGCATACCACCAATTGTGAAGATGGCATGGAACCAGGCAATGTTTTCTTCTGTTGTACATGGGGTTGTCAAAATTGGAGATGACTCAGTGGCAACTAACAACAGTCTCTATTAAATAAAGTCCAGGAGGTAGGCCCTATTATTCCCTTGTTTTACAGATGAGAAAACAAGTACAGAAGGGGAAAGTGAACTGCCCAAGGTCCTGCTCTTAGTAACTGTCATAGCAGGGCTGTGACCAGCACCATCTGGCTTCAGCATCTGTGCTCTTATGGAAATACCACAGTCCATCCTATTGAAGAATTTGCATTGTTCCTTGTATAGCTTTTCGTCACTTCTATTTCCTTACAATCAATCCCTAAAAGTAACTACTACTAGATAACGAGTATAATAATTTTTTTTTCCCTTTTAAAGCATGTTGCCAAATGTTCCTTGTGTTAGACCGAGTTCTCTAGAGAAACAACACAAGTAAAGCTTATAGAGAGAGAGAAAAGGAAATTTATCTTAGGAAAATGGGCTCACACACTTACAGAGGCTGGCAAATCCAAAGTTCTTGGATCAAACGTCAAGCTGGAGGCTTTTCCCTACTCACGTAGCTGCAGGGGCTGACAAGCTCAAGGTTGGCAGGCAGTATACTAGCTGTTGACTCCAACAAATGATGAATCCAAGATCTCCAGGCCGAACGGTGAATTTTCCATTCATGGACAGTTGTAGGCAGCACAACAGAATCCTGATCCACAGAAGAGTGTCTCTTTTCCCAGGATGTCCACAAATATACCGGAAGCAGGCCACACCACTAGGAAAACTCCCTTTCAATGGATTGGCTGCTCAAAACATATACATCTGATCCCATCATTGGAACAACCCACATCACAATTGCTTAAACCACACAGAATTGTAGTCCAGCCAAGTTGACACACAGCTCCAACTATCACAGTCCTACAAGATTATTATCTCAATTTATAATTTCTCATCAGCGTTGGGTACTATAGGAAATGTTATTTCACTTATTTTCTTTTATATCTTTTGGATTACTACTGAATATATATATTTTTCCCCCACCTATTTATATTTCTTCTCTTGTGAATCCAATATATCCTTCCCACTATTTCTGAGAATTCCAGGGCTTTGGCGTGCTTAATTCTCCACTCACCTGTCATTCAAGCTCTGAAGTCCTGCACTCAAGTGAAATCTCCATTGCCTGTGACTGTTGACGCCTCTCCTCCTGGCTGCTACAGGTCTTTCTGATCTGCATTATCCAAAACCACTGACGCAATGCTCTTCTTCATTTCTGGGCACTGCTGAGAAATTCTGTAGTGTGTAACAGACCTTCACTCAGAGGGCATTAGTGGGGAGATTACAGCACTGGACAGAAGTAGCAACCAGGACTACCAGACAATATAGCACCTGGTGTACTTTGGCCTTCACCACTTTGGGGACCTTACTCATGTTCATGTCATTTTCTTTAAAGCTCTATCTTCTCTCTTCCCAAGGCCCCAGGGTCCTAATACCATTTTCTTAGGCCAGTAGGGGAAACACTAAAACTTCCTTTTTGTTGTTGAACAGAGTATTTTAGGTTCCTTTGCCTTAATCAAGGATTTCTGGTAGTGCAGTGATTAAAGCCTTTGGCTATTCAAAAGGCTGGCAGTTGAAACCCATCAGCTGCTTTGTGGGAGGAAGATGAGGCAGTGTGTTGTCATAAAGATTTACAGCCTTGGAAACCCCATGGGGTAGTTCTACTCTGTCCTAAAGAGTCCCTGTGAGTCAAAATCAGCTCAAAGGCAATGAGTTTTTGGGTTGCCTTAATCACTCTCATAAAAACAAATCCAGGCCTTTTCATTAACTTATTTTTCTAAGATGAATCCTGCCATTCCCTTAGCACTCATAACTGCCTAGGTTTTTAAATTATCAATTTAATTAATTCCCTCACAATTTTGATGCACAATTAAACAAAGAATGAAGCAGCATAAATGATTTTTTGAACATTCTTGAACTTAAATCACATAATGTTGTGCACCTTAACAATAAAATATATTCTAATGATTAATGTAATGGAACTCATGTATCGAAATTGCTATCAGAATCTTTATTACAATCTTTTGACTGTTTTCTATGGTGTAAGGTAAGCACAAGGGTAAATTTCTGTGACAACCTAATTTGGAGCTGAGTAAGACTAGAACATGTATTTTGGGTTGGAAATGAGGAATTTATAATATAAAGTAATGCCTCTACAGCGGGAGTTCTTAACTCTGAAGTTAAATAAATATCTAGTGTTGTGGGAAGGAGTCCATGACCTCAGATTTAAAAAGTTACACTTTTATTTTCACTAACCTCCAGTAAAAATAACATTTTATTATGAATGAAGGCAACACTCCACAGTTGTATTTACCATACCTGTGGCTTTATAGTAGCAATACCTGCTACCTGTGCCTCTGTGAATATATTTTCATATCACATTCCATTTGAAGATACCTCAAGAGTTTATGTTCATCACTACTTTGAAATTACTGAAATAATCAGACTCTCTGTAAGACTGTATTTAATACTTAACAGAGAAATACATACTACTTTACCAAAAGTTACTTAATCTCTTACAACCTTAGTTTCTTTATCTGTAAGGGAAATATATAACTTCCTCCCAGGGTTGTCATAAGAATTAAATGCAATGTCAACTATGACCTTAGAGCATAGAATGAACTCTGCAATTAGCAGTCTTCCACTTGTTTCCGTCTCTGTTGTTGTATTTGTTAGGTGCCATCAAATTGCTTCTGACTCATAGTGACCCTACGTACAGCAGAATGGAACAATGCCCAGTATAGCACCATCTTCACAGTCACTGATGTTTGAGCCCATCGATGCAGCCACTGGGCCAATCTATCTCATTGAGGGGCTTCTTCTTTTATGCTAACCCTCTCTTCACCAAGCATGATGTCCTTCTCCAAGGACTGGTCCCTTCTGATAACATGTACAAAATACATGAGAGTTTCACCATCCTCATTTCTAAGGAGCATTTGAGCTGTATTTCTTCCAAAACAGCTTTGTTCATTCCAGTCCATAGCATATTCAATATTCTTTGTCAACACCCTAATTCAAAACCATCAATTTTTTTCAGTCTTCCTTATTTATTGTCCAGCTTTCATATGTGTATGACGTGACTGAAAATCTGGTGGTGTAGTGCCTAAGGCATCTGCTAACCAGAAGGCTGGTGGTTCAAACCCACCAGCCACTCCTGAGAGGGAAGACTGGGCAATCTACTTCCGTAGAGATACAGCCTTGGAAACCCAAGGAGGGGTCACTGTGGGTTGGAACTGACTCAACGGCAGTGAGTTTGTTTTTTTAATTAGCCTCACCTTAGTCCTCAAAGTGACATCTTTGCTTTTTAACACTTTAAAAGTTGTCGTTTGTAGGTTTACCAATGCAATACCTCATTTGATTTACGGACTGCCGCTGCTATGGGTGTTGACTGTGGATCCAAGTAAAATGAAATCCTTGATGACGTCAATCATTTATCCATTTATTGTGATGTTGTCTAATGATCCCTCTTACAGCAATACTCTGAATCTTTAGACTTTCTACTTTTTTTCTGGATTACTCCAGAATATATAGTAAACTGGAATTGGGAAGAAAACAACTCTCCTTATAGCCAGCTTTCTATTTTACAGGGGAAATTACCCGACTAGGCCATATAAGAAAGGAGCTATTTGCAGTGCCTGCCATAAAAATGACATGTGTTTGGACAAACTCTGTGGTAAGTAAAACAAAAATCTACCAAAACTACAATGTAACTGAAGTTATTTTAACTTTCTGTAGAGCTAAGAATGCAAACATTTGCTTTATCCTAAAAGGTGTTTTCAAGGAAATTAGGAACAGCTAGCAATCAAACCGACTGTTTACTGTCCTACGAATTTATGTTTAATTTAGAAAGCAAATTGTACCTCTTCTATTAAACAGTCAAGAAAAATGACTATTGTGTTGGAAACTGCGGACTCAAGATTTATTAATTTCAGCAAGATCAAACATGTGTTTAACAAGGTCATCCAAAGTAACAGAATTCTACACTTTTTGGTTCTACCTGTCCAAAGCACTCTTAAGGCTTCCATCTTCATCTGTAGAACTAAATAAATGAAATAAAGCTGCAATATGACACTTTTTATTGTTAAGACAGCATTTCATGATGGAGAATGCATAAAGCCAAGAAGATAACTCCCCAAGGATACTTTTCTACACTTCCTAGCAAAATCCTGCTTTTTAATTTTGAAATATTAATGTTAGCTTATGGTTTGTTCTTCAGTCATATGCCCTCTTCCATTGCAGTACATTTTGATTTTTCCCATGGTATGAAGAAGGGTGAGCTCAAATTGTTCCACTTATGCAAACCCTGTGGTATCTTTAGGAGACACATCTGTACCAAACTCAACTCCTTAGAGCTCTAGGGCTGCAACGGAGTATGTACATAAAGACAGGATAGCATGGACCAGGTTTCACTGCATGAAATTTTGTTTGGAGAAAGTGTTCCACAGCTTAGATGTTAATGTCCATTCTAGCTCTAAAGTGCAAAATTCTATTAAACTGCTTATTCCTTTCCTCCCCATGTGTAAATACTCCAGGTACAACAGCACTTCTTAGCCCAGCTTTCTCAGTCATTTTTCTCCCAGTTCAACCATTCTTTATTTTATGCTTATCACTCTTGTTAACTCAGTAGCATATAGCCACGATGCAACTGATCTTTGCTCAGATATTCAATATTATATCAACAGCTTTTTCTTTCATGTTGTTACAACACTACAAAGCATATTTTTTTTTTTCCAAGTTAGGCAGTATAACATAGGGGTTAAAAGACTAGATTTTACAACCAAGATACCTAAGTTCAATATTCAGTTCTACTACTAGTGTGACCTTGGGTAACTTTCTTGACCTGTTTCCCCAACAGTTTAATGTGGATGAAAGTACCTCTTCACTGACAGGTTTGGTGAAACATTTAATGAAAAAAAAGCATGAAATACTCATGCCTGGAACAAGGGCCTTTCATACAGCAGTGTTTACTGAATAGTAGCTACTATACCCAAAAACATGTCAGCTGTCATCCCAAACCTTGAGTTTACTCTTGGTGTCTTTATTCCCAGACTTTAAAGTGATAATTCCTTCTCTAAGATTAGTGATGAAAACTGAGCCAAGTATTTTATATTAGAGCTCTGGTAGCGTAGTGCCCAAGGCACTTGACTGCTAACCAGAAGGCTGGTGGTTCAAAGCCACCAGCCACTCCTCGGAAGGATGGTTGGGCGATCTACTTCCACAGTGATACTGCCCTGGAAACACAAGGATGGGTCACTATGAGTTGGGTCCGACTTGATGGCACATAACAACAACAACCGGTAAGTTGTCTGTTTCCCCCAATGGAGTCTAAATTCCAAATGGGTAGGAATTATGTTAGTTTACTCACCTATGTATCTAAAGTACCTAGTTCAATGACAAGCAAATATACACTGACTACTATTTCAGTGCAAGTTTCCCAGAAAAATCTGGCTTTCCCTTTAAAAATCTAGAGAATTAGTAACACAATGACAGTAACAAGAAGGAAACTACAGAAATTTTAACTTCTGTTTGTTGAAAATCTGCCCTGAGATAGTTTCTAAGCCTTTGGGATAACATCCAGAGATTAAGGTTATACAGTCTAATTACAAAAAGCCGATGGACTCTTAAAGGAGAAAGGAGATAAAGGGAACACATGCTAACTTGCATGAATTTACAAAGATTTTCTCAAACCCATAACTCATTTACTTAAATGGCTTCTCAATGTCCTCCAGGTTGATCCTGTCACTAATTTCCTATTCACAAAGCTAGGTTTATGTAGTTTCTGTTTTTATATAAATGTAGGCTTATTTGAAAGCACTATTTGTACTAATATTGAATAAATAATAGGCTATGAAATTTTTAAAACTTAAGAATACCTAATCTTACCTTGTACCATGAACTTTGACAGGGTAAAGGTTGAAGGATAATTTTTTCTTAACAGACTCCATCTCTGGCAAATTATAGCAATCACTGGAGGAAAAAAATAATCCTTTATGGTTTTCTAGATACTGTTCAATAACTACCTGCACAAGCCAAATTAAGACTGTTTCTCAAAAAGTGCTGGGCATACCATTGGCACACAAAGTGCTTTTAGATAGTACATGGAGATATATTTGTTTTTGTAGCTGAGTATTTAACATCTTTATGATATATAGATCTTAAAGATATATATATATATGAGACAAAAAAATAAAACCAGCACATCAAACCAAATGGTTAAGTGCTAAACTACTACCTGAAAGAATGGCAAACTGAATCCACTCACAGTGACTTGGAAGAAAGGCCTGGTGATCTACTGACAGACACATCTCTTAAAAGCCCTATGGACCAAGTTCTTCTCTGTAACAACAAACCGAAAAACCAAACTCACTGCCATGGACTTGGGTCTGACTCATAGCGACCCATCCTTGGGTTTCTGAGGTGGTATCACTACGGAAGTAGATAGCCCAACCTTCCTTCTGAGGAGTCCACTGAAACACATAGGATCACAATGAGTCAGAATCACCTTGACATCAAAACTTTTTTCTTATTTTGGCCAAGAAAAGTCTAAGCAGTAGCTTCATAGTAATTCACTGTAGACAAAGAGTACCCTGAGGACCAGCTCCTTGATGCATCCAGTAAGAGTTGACATACAACTGATGTAAATGGCTGGTTGGCCATTTAATAAAAGAGAGCATTGAGAGGGTGTAGAGTTTACTTCCTCCCCATGCTCTGAATGTCAAAATATGAATAAAGCTCAGGTAAAAGAAAGGAGTAATTATAACTTTAAGGTGACAGTCAAATGCCTTATCAATGATTTAATGACATATTGGAATTAATGAAATAGATTCAACTGTCTCTTTACTTCTAACTGGTCCTAAACAGTGTCACTTTTCTCAAGAGGAACTTACTTTCAGGAAAGTATTTTAATAATCTTCTCACATTGATTATTACTAATATTTAATTATTTATTTCTATTTTTAAATTGTAAGAGATTAATTTAATTTATATTTTAATCGTATCTATCTTCTAGTTATATAAAACAATTTTCCGTAAGTAGTAGTGATATAGTTTCCTTTGGAGTCCTTAGGTGGTACAAAATTTACATGCTTAGTTGCTAATCAAAAGGTTAGATGTTTGAGCCTTGGGAGAAAGGCCTGGTGATCTACTTCCACAAAGTCTGCCACTGAAAACCCTGTGGAGCACAGATCTACTCTGACACACAGGGGGTCACCAGGAGTTGTAAACGACCTGACAGCAACTATTTTTTAGTAGTTTCCATTATAGAAAAAGTAACTCAATATAAAAATATTTAGTACAGGTAGTGCAAATCATGAAAATGATACGTGAACAATTAACTTTTGAAAATCACTGCAATAAAGCCAAAGTAGGTATTAATGGTATAAATAGAGACCTGGCTTTTTTACTAAAACAAAAGCCTCATCGTTATCTACTTTTTTCCTTTTCCCTGACTTTACAGCTAACCCACAACGAGACAATGTCACACGTACGTATATAAATATTATTTCATTAAGAGCTATATGAATTATGTCACTGCATTATGAGAAATGATGTCTCAGACAATATTTTATGTTTGATTCTAGGTTACTACTCTCTTCGGTATCCAGACTGGCCGATATACTTACGTAACAGATACACCTCTCTCTTTCTCATTGTTACTCCATTAATTCTGATACTGGCTGTTATAATTACCATTTTGATCAAGCACAAATACCCTAATTTAGTTCTTTTGGAATAATACAATTAAAAAAAAAATCATTCATACATATATATTTTTTTAAAAAATAAAATAATACAAATAGGTGTACTTAATTTAAAGACATTTCTGGAAAAAAATGTGTTACTATAGTAAGCCCTTACACAAACAAAGAAACTGTTCAACTTCCTGATTCTATAGGATAAACTCATCTTTATTTTCCCCTTTCTATGAACAAACATTATTTTCAACCTACCTACCACACAGCTGGGACCTTTGGTAAGTAAGCCAGCCTCTCTATGCTTTAGCTTCAGTATCTGTAATATGAGATTTAGGTGATTCTATGTAACTCTAGTGCCTCTTATTTTTAGTTACAAACATTTCTATATTACTTGTCACATGCTGCTTCAATTCTAAATGTTTTGTGGTATGTTTTCTCCCACTCTACTGCAACTTGCTTTCTCTCTGCTTCATCTCTCCCCAGATTTAGGACAGAACAATAATTAAGGAATTTAAGAGAATGATGGGTTATATAATACTGGTATAAAAAGTAAAATGTTTACTTGCTATTATTAAAGAGTGAGAAAGAACACTGAAAATTTATATTTTCCTCAACACCAAATGCTGTGACATAATATTTAAAGTGTAACTAGTGGCATCAGTCACTGGATTTTATTAGCAATTACAAAAGTTTAGCAATAGTTCACTCCAAAAATTTTTATATGAAACAATCTAAAGAATTACTTCTAAAATGACACTTAGGTAAAGTCTGCCTGGAACAGATTAGGTCCAACATATGCAAAGACATATATATATATCAGTTTCTAGTACAAATTATATACATATATACATACACACACAAACATGAATAATTTATTTATAAAGAATTCTCCCCTAGAAACAAAAGAAACTCAGGGGGAAAAGAAAAAAAGATCAAAGTGATTCCTTTTCATAGATAAGGCAACTAATGCCTAATACACCGCAAAATCCTTTACAAAAGGAGATAACTTAATAAATTCTAGTTCAGGTTTTTTTTTTTTAAATGTTACTTTTTCTTCTTTTTCTTTTCATTTGCTTCCATCTTAAGCTTAAGTTCCTCAGCTGTAAGTGCTCCCAGCTTCTTCTTCTTTGCCTTCTTAACCTTTTCCTTGATGGCAGCCACATCAATTTTTGTTTCAGTAGAAGCTAGACAAATTAAAAACACAGTATGTTATTTCTTTAGATTCTACCAAATAAAGCAGAAACAATACATAGATTAACAATTTCAGCATACTGTTATAACAGGAATACCAAAAGCCAACCCACTGCCAGAGTTGATTCTGACTCATAGTGATCCCCACTGGGCTTCCAAGGCTATTAATCTTCATAGAGATATGCTGCCTCGTCTTGCTTCCATGCAGTGGTTGGTGGGTTTGAACCACCAGCCTTCTGGTTAGCATCCAAATGCCTTACTCACTATGCCACCAGAGCTCCTTGCTGTAACAGAAAGGTAATATAAAATATATGCCTAAAGGCAAGAAATTCTGAACCACCATCTCAAACTTTCTTCAAACTAAGAAAACAATGTATCATAAAGAACTATAACTATACATTAGTAAAAGTATGCAAGAAAATAATTTTATAGTTCAGAAATTCAAACCAATTAGTGAATTCAGCTACATTTAAACTATGTTTTCCTAAAATCCACTTGAGATCAGATTATTTTGACTTATTCTTTTGGGACTTTAGAATACTCATTAACATGCCAATTCTATCACACATAAAAACCAGTTAAAATTACATTTCATGAAGAATAATACATGTAATCAAGTCTCAATACATTTAATTATCTAACCATGAAGCCATAGGTCAAAATTTACTTTATCTAATACCACAGCAAAAAGTTCAAAATAAATGTTTTTCTAATAGTTCAATGAATGACTAGTAGTATGCTATGTAACAAAATTTTGATAGTAAATATAGTAATTGGGTAAGTTTGTGGAGGTCTGCCCACATTATCAACCATATAATCAATGTCTAAAATAGGGAAAGGAAGCACAAAACAATGCAACTTTTTCTTATGATTTAAAGTATAGTATCAGAGCACAAGGAGGGCTGGAGGATAAACAGTTCATACAAACTCCACAAGCATCTTCAAGAGCAGAGATTTAAAGCCTCCACTATAGTGGAACAGCTACATTTTTAATTATTATAGACTAATGTTAAAATACCTAGTGAATACCCTAAAAATGCATAACTGACAATACATAAAGTCCAAATTATAATATTTGGTATTCTAAACTTTCATATGACCTATCATTTACAGAGTAGAATGTTTTTAAGTTGTTAACACTGCTACATTAATAAAATCCTAACGTGCACCATCTTTTTTTGACCAGTAGATCATGTACTACATACAATCCTGCCACTATGCCCCCCCTACACACACACTGTGCCACTATTTGCTTTGAAGGGTTACTTAGGAAGTGTATGAGTATTACTGGGAGCGATGGGTACGTAAAAAAGAAAGAAAGAAAATCAATTAAAAAGACACTAGAAATGAAAAAAGTCCTAAGGGAAAAAAGTGCCTTCCCTTATCTTTTTTAAGAGCCCCTCAGTGATTTTTCTGTCATTATTCTGTTAGTGTTCTTTAGTCCAAAGTGATGAGAAATCCATGTTAAGAATAATGGAACCAGACATGAAACCACAGATCACATAAATAAAAGGAAGAGGAAACCCAACCTCTGCTAAGCCCTTTCTGAGAGACAGGAGAGCAGACCACTGTTACTTTATCTCTATAGCGCGCACACTGCTCTCTTTGTGTCTCTCAAGCACAAGACAGAGGTCTGGAAGGCACTGCCAACCTGGGATATGCTGAAATAAACGTTGTTGTTGTTACTTGCCTTCAAGTCAGACCCAACTCATAGCGACCCCTCCTTGGGTTTCCGAGATGGTATCACTATGGAATTAGATTGCCCAACCTTCCTTCCAAGGAGTGGCTTGTGGGTTTGAACCACCAGCCTTCTGGTTAGCAGTCAAGTGCCTTAGGCACTATGCTACCAGAGCTCCTGAAATAAGCATTAGCCACTACTAAATTATAAATTACCTGAGTCATTTGCTGTTCTTAGGATTAACAGAAGGCTCAGAGAATTGATGGAGGATACAGTTACTTCTTTACTTGCCAGTCAAAGAGATATAGACAAATTCATTTGAAAATCAAACATTACCTTCCTTCGGTTTCATAACTGGTTGTTCTTTAGGTGGAATGAAAGCTTTGTTTCTTTCCTCTTGTCTCTTACTGAGAGCTTCTGCTTGTTTAGCCTATATTATTAATAATGTGTACATTAGCAAAATAAAATTTACAGTTAAATAAGGATTCAAATTTCTATAAACTTTGGTAATAATATTGTGACCCAGACATAAAGTCTTACCTTTACTGCTTCCATTTTCTGTCGCTTCTTCTGATTTGCCTTCAAAAAGTATTCACCACTAGCCAGTTCTTTATCAATCTGTACAAAATGACCTTTACAATTACTTCAGAAATAGTGTACATAAGAAATCATTTCCTAAGACTGAAACTAGGCACTAAATTTTTAATTTTGCAACTTGGGATAAAGGACTATTTGAATACAGAGACCTTTGAACTTTTTTCCCCCAACTTATCAATTCATTCACAAGGCCCTTGGATTCTATAAGCTTACTGATTAGTAGGGGAGATAAAGCAAGCACCCAAACCAGCCCAGTGAAGGGTACAAAAAAAGATATGGGATACTTTCTGTAGAGGATGTTGTTCCCTACCACACATTATCAGTGGAGTGAGCATTCAGTATGGTACAAAGGGACATTCAAAGAATACAAAAGAACTGAGTAACTGCAGAAAACAATTATCCAAGGAAAACAATTATTTTCAACTTCCTAAGAATTAACACTTAACTGACAAAGGCCTTATGGCACATGGTAAGATTTATTAGTGGCTAAAATTTAATCAATTAGCTTCATGGTGGCAGAAGCTAATTCAGTAAAATCTGGTAATTGTTTTTTTTAAAGTTCATTGTCAAACTATACATGGAAAGGTTAATTTAATAAAAAAAAATATAAAAGCATAAAAATATTAGAAATATTTGACTGTACTCTAAGAAAAAAAAATTAGGAGCTCTGGTGGTATAGTGCCTAAGGCTTGTGACTACTAACCAGAAGGCTGGTGATTCCAACCCACCAGCTACTCCTCGGAAGAAAGACTAGGCAACCTACTTCTGTAGAGATACTGCCTTGTATACCTGAGGAGGGGTTGCTATGAGTCGCAATCAACTTGATGGCAGTGAGTTATTTTAATTTTTTTTTTTTTAATAAAAAAATCTATCCAAACCTTAAACTGGTTTAATGGTGTTTAACGTGGAGATACTTTTACTAGTATTATTCCAATACAAATCTTTACAAAGTCATAATGTCTTTGGGGTTAGGATAAAACCCCTACCCACCCACTGCCACTGAGTGGATTCCAATTCATAGTGACCTGCAGGACAGAGTAGATCTGCCTTATAGGGTTTATAAGGCTGTAAATCTTTAAGAAAGTAGATTATTGCCATCTTTCTCCCCTGGGGGCTTAGGACAATGGGGTTTAAACTCCTTATGATTAATTCTTAAAGGAAAAGCATTAAAAGAACATGTACTCTTAAGCTGAGTGAAATATATGCACAAAAAGCATGGAGGTGGGAGAGTAGCCGACGTGTCAATGGGCTACACAATACACCGGTGTTGGTAAAGTGGAAGGTCAATGTTTCAGCAAAGTGTGAGACGGTTTCCTGGAAAGACAGTTTGGGAAAAGCTGGAAAAGGCCTGCACGAAGAAGCTGGGACATGGTTTAGAAATGACTAAAGGAGCTCTGGTAGCATAGTGGCTAAGGCACTTGACTGCTAACCAGAAGGCTGGCAGTTCAAATCCACCAGCCACTCCTCGGAAGGAAGGTTGGGCAATCCTACTTCCGCAGTGATACTGCCTCGGAAACCCAAGGAGGGGTCGCTATGAGTCGGGGCCGACTCGACGGCAAATAACAACAACAACAAAGGTTTCTGAGTGAAGAGACCAAAGTAGCTTTTTAAGAAGGTATAGAAAAATAAAGAGGAAAGAATAAGAGCCTGAAATGAAGGCAATGGCATTGAGAATGATAAGCAAGAACTGCCAGGATTTGGTGACTCATTAAACACAAATTACAGAAAACTACAGCTCCTTCATTCACTATTTACCCTTGTTATCTCTCTCGTACACTTATATAACAGTAGTATAACCAAGGCACTGTTTGACACTCTTTACAAATACTAACTCATTTAATCCTCATTAACAGTTCTTAGAGATAGGTATCGTTCTTACCCCCATTTTATACATGGAGAAACTGAGGCATAGAGAAACAGCTTGCTCAAATTCACAGAGCAGGTAAGTGAGCAGAGCAAGTTAAATGACACATCACTGACTTCAAGAAACTTAACAACTGTATGGGAAAAAGACAAGTAGACAAGTAACCATAGGACAGGGCCACAAGAAGTATGGCAGGTGCTACGGAAGCACAATTGAAAAACTAGATCCCTCCCAACTTTCTGGCTTCACTTTCTCCCTTCCAGAGTTGACCCCATGATCAACTACTTCCATTGTTTTTGCATTGTTATCATTCCTTTTTTCCTTTTGATCTTTCATCCATCAACCTTCCCTGAAAAATCCCAAACCCAGAGTGGTGGAGAGAAGGTGGTATACATAAAGAGAAGGGGTTGTATGTTGAGTAGAAAGAACTAGTAGGGAGGGAAGACTTTAAGATTCAGGTCAGGGAGTTCCGGTAAGATAGCGGGATAGGCAGACAGACTGCACACACCCTCTTCAACAAAGAAAAGGCGAACCAATTAACAAAGATACAGAAGATAATCCTGAAGCCCTGAGCTTTGAAGGCAAGGATATAGAACTGGACTAAACTCCAACTAACAGAAGAACTTGCATGAAAACACCAAAAAAGGAGACATATGAGCTGCTTTCTGGTAGTGATCATGATGGCACAGACAGCTAGGACTGTACTGGTGGTGCAGTGAACAAAAGGGGAAGCAGTGAAGAGGAAAGCAGGCTGAGCTGTGGACTTTTGCCTGTCTAGAAGATACAGGAATTTTGAATGTTTACAAGCAGTTTGACCATTTTGGATATTTAAAGCAACAGTGTTATCCCAGATTCCAGGAACTTAAGAACAGGCTCCACGTGCCAGAACCACAGGGACATTCTGGATGCCAACGACTGGAAAGTTAACAGAGATCTAAATACAACAATGTCACAATGTCATGGAGACAACAGACCATCACAGTCCACACAAAGAAGCAAGGAAAAGTGATAGAAACAAGCCGAGCAGGATACAGACCCAGAACACATCCCTGAGGAAGAAGCAGCATTGGAACTCCCTGATAAGGAATTCAAAAGAATTATATTTAAGTATCTTCAAAGGATTGTGACACAGATCAAGGAAAACACTGACAAAATTAAGGAAAACAGAGACAAAATCCTAAACAATTTTGTTAGAAAATATAAGAACAAAATGACAAAATAAATGAAACATTAGAAACAATACAAAATCTACAGGTAGAAATCCAGTAGATTAATACTAAATTTTCAAAAATAGGTAACACATTGAAAGAGCAAAGGAGTAGAATCAAATCAATAGAAGACAGAATTAATGAGATTGAAAACAAATACTTGAATACTTCTTTGGAAAATGGTCAACTAGAAAAAAGATCAAAACAAAATGAAGAAAGCCAAAGGTTCATGTGGGATACCATCAAAAGGAAAAACCTATGTGTAATCGGAATTCCAAAACAGGAAAAGACAAACTACTGAGAAAATTGTCCAAGATTTATTGGAAGAGAACTTCCCTGATATGATGAAAGATGAGAATATATCCATTCAAAAATTCCAACAAACACCAAACAGGCCAGACCCCAGAAGAAAATCACCAAGACATACCATCATCACAAAACCAGGCAAAGAAAGAAACCTGAAAGCAGCACGGGAAAAATGAAGTTAGTTACAAAGGACAACCAATAAGAATAAGCTCTGATTTCTCAGCAAAAACCATGCAAATGAGAAGGTGATGGGATGGTATATATAAAACCATGCAAAAGAAAATTTCCAACCAAGAACTATATGCCTGGCAATACTGTCCCTCAAAAGTGATGGTGAAATTAGGAGATTCATAGAAGCAGAAATTATGGGAATTGGTTAAAAATAGACCAACCTTACAAGAGTAAGAGATACTAATGAGAGTCTTTTGAACAGAGAACCAATAATAGCAAACAAATGACCATTGATTCACAAGATGAAATAACCCAGAAACCAACACAGCTATGATGTATACAAAGTAAAATAAGCTTATAAGATTGGGAACAAGGAACCAGAGATATCAATTGGCAAATGAGAAAAACTACAAACCAAAAAGAGGGGAAAAACTGTAGTTACAGAACTTCTAATGGTGAGGAAGTCAAGATAGAAGGGACTGTTCTAAACTTGGGGAGAAAATTAAAATCACAGGGTATCCTGAAAGAAAAATGATAAACCTTCACATCACAATAAAAAAAGAGGACAAGCACAAATATTTAGCAAACACTAAAACAAGAGCAACAAAGGAAATAATAACACAATTAATAAACATAATTAGCTCAGCAAAGAAAATAATATGGAACAAAGAAACCAGTAATACCATGAAAAAACACAGAACAAAGTGACAACAACTAATTCATTTTTATCGATAATTATACTGAATGTTAATGGATTAAATGCACCACACAAGAGGTGGAGAGTTGCAGACTAGATAAGAAAACAAAATCCATCAATATGCTGTCCACAAGAGACATGCCTTAGAGACAAAGACAAAAACAGACTAAAAATCAAAGGTTGGAAAAAGATGTATCAAGCTAATGGCAACCAAAAAAGAGCAGGAATGGCAATATTAATTTCTGATCAAACTGACTTTAAGACAAAAACTACCATATGAGACAAGTAAGGACATTGTATGATTATTAAAGATCAACTGAACAAGAAGATATAACCATAATAAATATCAATGGACCCAATCAAAGAGCCCCAAAATACATAAATCAGACTTTAAAAGAGTTGAAAAGGCAAACAGATGACTCCACAGTCATAGTTGTTGTTGTGTGCTGTCAAGTTGGACCCGACTCATAGCGACCCTTCCTTGGGTTTCCAAGGCAGTATCACTACGGAAGTAGATTGCCCAACCTTTCTTCCGAGGAAGGAAGGTTGGACCATCTACGTAGTGATTCCGAGGTGGGTTTGAACCACCAGCCTTCTGGTTAGCAGTCAAGTGCCTTAGGCACTATGCTACCAGAGCTCTTTAATAAACCACTTTCAATAAAAGATAGAACAACTGGAAAGAAACTCAACAAAGACGCAGAAGAACTGAACAACACAATCTACCACCTTGACCTTATAGATATGTACAGAGCACCTGAAAATCTGCAAGAAATGG